ATCATTAAACTCCTCCATTCAACTCTACTCCATGTCATCACCCACACTCCATTAAACTCTTATTCAATCCTAATCACCACCCTATTCAACTCTTATACTACTTGCATTGTGGATGCTCTAAGGATTTTCTCAAGCCTTGGGGGTAGAATCAGATACATGCACCACATCTTTGTCTAGGGAAGAACTCATTTCCTTCGATACCAAGGAATCAAGATTAATATTAAAACAGAAATGGTAAATTCTTCTAGGCGACATAGAAGAACCAAAGTCAGCAAGTATATTAATATTCTACCTTGTTATCATCTTTGTGTTCCTTTAAGTCCAATGTTCTTGAAACCTTTCCCTAAAAAGGCAAAAACCTTACCTGTGACCCCTCAAGCCCTCAACTGATCTATGTTGGAAAACGGGTGTTACATTGAAACAATGGTATTATGTGAACAACTTTAACAAGTTGGATGGTCGAATGTGAACAAAAAATAATAATTCCTAGATATGAACAAAACCAATAGTTCATTGCCCTTATGGGTAATTACTAAACTGTAACTTGCTACAGCCAGTCATAATAGTCATAAGTGAACACTTCAAATAAATTCATTGTTTATATGTGTACAAAAAGGTTACCTAAATGTGAACACTTCTAATAAATTCATTACCTTAACATGTCATTTTCCCTTTACAAAACCCCTACCAAACTTTTAGCAGCCAGGTAGCCATAATAGAACTCACACATTAATGGACCAAAGAACTCTTTAGACTTTAAACGGTTTTGTCATTACAAGATATACATATAACCACATGCAATTTTATAATAATTACTCCATTTATCCTACACTTCATAATGAACACTTATGGACACTAAATTAGATTTAATGTATCTAGTCTATCAATGATGGAATTAAACCACATATAATTTGTGTATAACTATTATAAAGCTGATCTAAGTTGATAAATCAACTTAAATACCCTTACATCTAACTCTTGTACAGACACTCAAGAACTTAAATTAAAAATCTACATTAATTCAGTACTGATATTGAACCAAACTTTACCAATTTTGGGCATGAATATAAACTGAATAGTCGAGAAAAGGTTTAGCCCCAAACTAGGGGTGAGCATGGGACGGGTTGGGTCGGTTTTGTAGTAAAACCGAACCTAACCTGCATATTTCAATTTGTTAGTTTTAGAACCTAATAGGTTCGGGTTTCTGATTAGGTTTAGTTTCTGGGTTCAAATCATGGGTTCACAGGCTTTGGGTATAAACCCATTTTTCAAAAAATTTAAATAAACTATCAAATGATTTCAATTTTTTTAAAACTTTTAAAACATCCAAAACTAACATAAAAACAGTTCATTACATCCAAAAGTTCATTAAAACCAAAAGTCCATTACAACCAAAAGACACTTAAAACAACCAAAAGTAACATAAAAATAGTTTACAAAACCAAGTTCAATCTTGGGAGCTGATTTTTCCACGTAGACTTTTTATTCGTCCACTGAAATACTAATATATTGACCATTATGTCCTTCATTTAATTTCTTCAAATTACACGTTTGTTTCCAAATTAGCCTATATTGCATGTGTTCTCTCACTGAATATACAAAACTTGAGTTTTTAACTATACTAGTAACCGAAAAAATAGTATTTAACAAACAATTTTATTTTTTAAAACTATTTACCAAAAGATGGTACTTTTTATTATGTTTCTTCAATCTGCCACCGGCTCCCTCCCTCTCCAACTCACGGTCCAAGTTCGTCGCGGTCTCTCACAGTTAGTCCGGAAGCATGTTGGCTTGCAATTTCCTCCATCGATTCTCCCGTCTTACATGCTGCTATAGATCAAAAATGATTTGACCAGTTGGGTAGAGTAGCCCATCGTACACGTTGTTTTGAAATACTCGAAGTACAACATTAGAATCTATGTCGTCGGCTTCGAGTATGCTTACAACAGTAGATGGGATCCTCAAATTCACACAGGCGTCAACCTCTTCCTTTCATCCACATAACCCTTTGTCCTAATGTGCAACAAATACCGATTCCTGCATGGTACACTGCCAACAACAACAGGAAAATCATGTCGGCGTCTCCGCCAGTGCCAGATATGCAGTACGAAAACAATGGAGGGTAACGAGTCTCACGGTGGACGATGGAGGAGAAGGATTTGTAGGAGGCGTATGAAGCACTGAAACCGAAGATCGAGAAGATGAAGAGTAGAAAAAAGATGATTGCAGCGGCGAACAGAGTGAAAATCCATTTCTTCTAGGTTCCCAATCCCATATAGATAACTTTGATTCTGATTATGTAATGTTGGAACATATGGATTTTGAATTCTGATCAAGGTTTTTAGTGTTGGATTAGGGTTTTAGGTTGTAGCAGTATTGCATCTCTTTTGAGAAAACAAACGTATGGAAAATGGAGGGCTTAATTTTGAGTCAAAGTTGAAATCCACCGGTCAAAAATTTTGGCGGTGAGTTTTTGGAAACAAAAAAAGCAAGATTTCTCTTTCATAGTTATTTTTTAATTGAAATAGGGGTATAAGTGTCAATCTCTTATTTGTTCCGTGGAAGAATCATAAGCCTCCTTGGAAAAATCACCCACCTTCAATCTTTAATCTTCATCCATGTTATCCCTTCACCATTTCTCAATTCATCTACAAATAAAAAAGGATTAGTATTGAATTATAAACTTAAAATTATACAAAAATACTTACCAAGTTCTATTTTCTCCAACTTCTCTTTCAAACTTCAATCTTCATCCATGTGCGACACTACGAGAGTGTGAGGCTAAACTTGAGAGAATGAGGTGAGAGTTGAGGGCATGTCAACTTGAGGCTAGGAGAGAACGAGATCAAATTAGGGTTTCTGCTTTCTATTTTTTTGATGGAACGATTAAAATTTAAATGTAATATATTTTTTTAATAAAATATATAATATTCATTAAAAATATATAATAATATAATATAGAGGACTTGGTTTGTTTTTGATCGGTTTCAAACCCAACGGGTTGGGTAGGTTTTAAGTACTAAACCCAAACCCAAAATCCATTTTTCGGTTTTTTAAAAATTTAAACTCAAACCCGACGGTTTAGGTTCAATTTCAGTTTCAATTTTGTCGATTTTTTGGTTTTTAGTTTCGGTTTTGCTCACCTCTACCCCAAACTTTTATATTAGATCTGAAATCTATGTAATAGGAGTAAAAAAAAAAAAAAAAAACGATGGTCAGTTAATGAACAACCATTGATGTTTATGAATTTAACTTTGAGTCCTTAAATTAAAAATACTAATTGTTAAGCAAAATACTTTTTTATAAACAAAATTTGTTAAAAAAATATTTGAAGTATTATTTTCGTCAGGTGTGTTCTAAACATATTTTGGGTCTAGGACGAAAGAAAAAAAAGGGTCCTTAAAATATACAAATGTCATCAAGTTTTTTGTAATAACTTAATAATTGAAAAAAAATTGTTGTACTATCTTTTAAATACAACAATTTTCATAAAAAAATTTAGGCAATTTTAAAAGATGAGCCCTGAACGGTCGCTTTGTTGCCCACCCTCTGGGTCGGGCCTGATTTTCGTAGAGCCAAGAAACCATCTGGAGTTGTGGTGGACATAAAATATAATTTGCCCAAATTTGTTAAAATAATATTTGGAGTATTTAATTTAGACAAATTTTGAAGGTAAAAATTTGCAAATGTCGGTTTAGCAAGGAATTCGCCTTGTACTAAGAGGTACGTCTCTCTCAAACCCTAGTTTCTCGTCATCCATGCATTACAATACCAATTTCCGCTTGCTAACCTTACAATTCAGAGACCTGGGCATTAATTCGAGTTTCATCCATCGGGATGTTTTTACTTTGAACTTCTTTTTTAACATTATCGTGCATTAGTTGATTGGGGGTTCATAGATTAAGAGATTTAAACAAGCAAGCGACCATACTATCAGGAACAAAGTTGAGCTTTTTTTCAGATGTACGTATTAACGAGTTTATGTTTATCTCACTGATGTGTGTGGACTGTGGAGTGGTTAATATCTATATGATCAATACTGCATTAATTACAAAAGACTACGACCTCTGTCAAAGAGGCAATATATAACATTTTGATTATAAGAAGTTCTAACCCTCTACTGTTCATAGTCTAAGATTGACACGGATGTTTAAGATTTTTAGTTTTAATTTGTTATTTTAAATGGTGATGGCTATTTATTTGTTTGATGTAATCGTCAATTCGTCATTAACACCTCTAATCAAAATAATTATTATGAAGTTCTTAAAGTTGCTTAAATAACGTATTTCAGACCATTGTTATATTATAAACATTAGTTTAACAGGTGATCAGACTATTATTAGCCTATTGGAATTGGGGATTTTCTTGTTTCTCCCATTTCATCATTAGTATATCACTTAATTTATTTATATATATATATTTAGTTGTGTTATATGAAATTACTTTTCTATATTTGTTCTCGTGGTATCAATTCTACTTGTTTTGGGCATTTATACACTTGTATCATAAATGCAAAATTGGTTTACTAATATGTTTGAAAAGGAAGTCTAGGTGTAGGATTTAGAATTATATCATTGTTGTGGATCTTAACTTCACTAGCAGAAAAGGAAGAAGGCAAGTCTTGTTTAGAATAACAATCATACACTTATCATCTAGCTAAAAGATTTATCAAATTTGCAACTAGCCTTAATACATTAATGAAATGGCAATAATATACAAGATGTGATTTGATGTATCAGTGTTAGCAAATAAATTTTGTTCATTAGACCCTCAAGGGAGCCCATGAGATGATAAAACCAGCCTTATTAGCAGCACTACCTGATGCATTATTGATGCTATGTACTAACTAACCTGTGTTCCTTATGTAGTAGGTGTTTGCACAACATGTATAAGAAGTATTGTTCTCTGCTATCCAATTAATTCATTTAACTTTTACGTTATGAAGTGCAGATTATCATTAGATACGGGATTGTGATTTGTGGAGGCAAAAAAGAAGGAATATGATGGTAGAAGATAGATTGAGCAGCTTGCCAGATGAGCTTATTCATAAGATTCTGTCTTGTTGTGACATAAAATTTGCTGTTAAAACATGTTTGTTGTCATCAAGATGGAAGCTTGTCTGGACATCGTTGCCCTGTCTCAACTTCTCAAGTCGGCAGTTTCGTACTTTACATAAGTTTGCCGAATTTGTGACTCATTTCCTGTCTCAACGCAACCATCAAATACAAGTGTCTTCCGTAAAGCTACATTTCTATGGAGCAGCTAATAAGGATTTTGTGAGAAAGATTGCAAACTATGCATTTTCTCACAATGTTCAAGAACTAACTGTCTCTAGTTCGTGCTCAAATAGCCGCCAAGTTTACCCTTCTTGCCTATTTAGGTCTCAGTCTCTTAAGCATTTCACATTCACTTGCAATTATATGCGACTTTGCACTACTAAAACTGAAGCACCTTTGGATTTTCCATCTTTAACAACTTTGAATCTCAGTTACATCACATTGTCGGGTGATCTTTTCTCCAAGTGCGTAAACTTAAAGAATCTCACTTTAGAATGGTTCACCATCAAGGATGTGGAAGTATTTGACATCATTACACCTCGTCTTTCTAATCTCATGCTTATCCATGGCAGACGTTCAATAGCAATCAATGTGAATGCACCTCAACTTGAGAATCTCACAACAAGCAATTGCTATTTCAATTCCTTGAATGCTCCACCAGGACTTTCGTCTTTGTGCTACACATTTCAGCTGTCGCCTTGTAGTCTTGTGCGATTCTCTAATGATCAGTTTCATTCTCTAAACAAAGTGACTATCTGTTTGTCTGACTATTATCCAACCATGCCATGTAAGGAGGAAGGTGCTCGCAAGATTATTAACATGCTTCAACAGCTCCATAGTGCCAGATATCTTACACTTAGCGCGGACATTGTTGAGGTTTGTTGATATCATATCACTCATTTGTGACATTTAGTTTCTACTTTGGAAATACTTGGTGCAATCCGAAAAGGAAAACAATATGACAACATGGCTTATTTCTTTTAATCTCCTTTAAGAAGAATCTATTAGCAGTTCTAGCATTTCATATACATGGCATCTTGTTCTCACCCGGACTGTATTCACAGAACATTGTTTCCACCGGTAGACTTCAAATATTGATTTCTAGTATCATGTTTTTAGTTACATGAAAAGTCGTTTTTTCATGTCTGTTTTCTTCTGTTTCTGAAATGTGAGGATTAGCTTCTTATGCTTACCACATCATATTAATTGTCCACATTACTAGCTACACATACACTACTGATATGTATATTCATGCATGTTTAATGTATATATATCTTGTCATTTCTGTGCAGTATATTTCCTTATTTCCAGATTTGTTATCTCAACATCCTTCACCCTTTAGCAACTTGATTTGCTTGACTATGGACTACAGCAAGCAGAAGGATGCAGTCATAGTAACAAAGTCTAGTGAAGCTAGAAATTTCTTTCTTGAGAACTCTCCAAGCGCCACTTTTACCATGCTATTACCCAAGGTACTTACTTTAATCAGAATCATATATTCATCCCTTCCCTGTCCATGACCTTGCATTGATTTAAAGTTAATGCATTTCATTCATCCATTACATGTTAATGTTACTCTACTCGCAAGGGTTATTTAGCCTAACACTTGTATTATCTTAACATTGTATATCTCAGGTTCATAGTAGAAGATGATGGGTGCTTGAAAGTGGTTTTTGTTTACCTATGGACTGGTGGATTTATAGAATCCTATGTTTGCGTATGGTGGATTTGCCTTTTGAGAAGACAATGTATATATTTTTGTTAGCTTTTGGTATGTAATTATGTGGTAAATGTCTTCTTGGGTTATGTGGTTACAACTTATAGTAAGTAAAGGTTTGAAGCTTCCGCTAGACACATGATATCTGTACTTATATTTTAAAAATGATATTATGCTAGTCTGAAAATTACAAGTTTTACAAAACCCCTACCAAACTTTCAGCAGCCAGGTGGGCATGATAGTGTGAGTGTAAACCTACTTGGGTGTGAACCTGCCATGAGTAGCTGCACCACCCTCTTTTGTTGACAAAT